AAATCAAAAGTACGACAAAGTGCTAAAATAAAAATCAACTAAGGCTCGATCTCCTCAACGTCATCGACAATCTCAATGGCTTGCTTAGAAGGAATCGCCGCCGCAAAGTTCGACGAGTTATCATCACTTGACGAACTCGAAGAACTCGAATCTGAGTCAGCCACCTCTTCAACGGCATCAGCGTTCGAGTCCACAACTCGATCATCAGTCGTGCCAGCAGGCGAATCCTTAAAGATCCCTTCAAGTTCGCGCACATGCTTAGCAAATACCCCATCCGCGAGCGATAGGTCTGCCTCCTGCTTCATAAGGTTAACGAACTCTTCACCGAGATCAGGCGCCTTGTCACTCTGAAGAAGTTTTATGAACTCAATGTTACTCCGGACTTCAGCAAGGTCAATTATATCGATCCTCGGCTGGTCATTGATCATTTTGATCTTTTCTTCGGCGCGATCGATCTTCGCCTCGTACCTTGCCACCAGCTCGCGCTTCGCTTCGTCTACAGTCCGCTGCACGACCGTATCTTGAAGCTTGGTAGCAACATCTAATCGGGTGGTAAGGTCACAGACATCCTTCTGAAGACGCTTCTTCTCGGATTCAGACTCCGTGAACGTCCCATCCATCTTGCGATGCCTATCCTCAGTTTCCATCATAGCAGCTTGGAGAGTAGCAACGCGATCCTCTGCATCCCTTTTCTGTTTCCTATGATCGTCGCAAGCCTTCTGAACATTTGCAAGCTGACGACTCAGCGAGCGAACAGTCACCTCATAGTCGATCGCGAGCTTGTTAAGCGAAGAAAGGAACTGCCAAACCAAGACACAGATCACGGAAAACAAGATAGAAGATCAAAAAAAAAGGAAAAATCAAATCGCTATCCCACGAGAGTTGCCACGAAGTCGTACCGTCATACAATCGAAGGCCATGCTTGAGTAAGATCTCTTCCTCGACATCTCTCCTGGAGGGGGAAACTCAGTGCCTGGGAAGACAATCTGGGACAAATGCGACGCCGCCCGCGCAGCATCATCAAAGGACACTTTCGTACCAAAAGGAATAGTGGAAGTCCTCACCACACGATCACATCGACGAGTTGAAGCGTGCCTCGATCTGTTCAAGTCCTCTTTGCCAATACTGCCTTTCTCTTTCTCTTCTCGCGAACCCATACGACTTGCTCCTGCGTGATCATTCCTTCCCCTCATGTCATCGTGACGCCCATGCGATGATCCAGATCGACGATTGGTGATGACAACAACATTTCGCTCTAACTCAGGACGACGCGYCCTAGATGCAAGGGTTCCAGTAGTGCCAGCTCTGGGGACTAACGTCAACGGTCTAGCTTGTTGAGATACTCTCGTGTTCAAATCTGTCCTGGCCTCGGCAGCTCTCCTCTCACGAACAGATGGTTTCCTCGCATTTTCTAACATCTCTAGTGACGAATTCAACGAACAAGCAACTCAATTCTCTATCCGCTGCACCAATAAGCAACAATCGAAGTCAGTTTTTCTCCACAAACCTAGCCTTGTCATCGAGCCATCGAGTCGCCGAGTTAAAAAAAAAAAAAAAACCGAGTTAACTCAGTGACTCAACTCGTAAGGTTTTCGCCATTTTCTTCCACCGGATCTGGCCGTCTCAAGCTCHAACCACCTCAGAAACTCGCCGAATAACATCG